AAAGGGGGAGGCGGATAGAAGATGGATAAAGGAGCAGATAGGTGGAGCGGAGACAGACAGGTCAAGGAGGCGGGGTTGGAGCCAGTAAAGGTGAGTTAGGGAGGGGATAGGTCGGTCCAGGGAGGACGGACAGGTCAAGGGGGCAGGATGACGCTAGTAGGGAGGAGATGGGGGTGGGGCTTGAGGTGGGAGGAGTGGATAGGTGGGAAGACAGGTTAGGGAGGCGGGGACGAGCTGGGCGGGTTTTGGGATATGGTTGGGGGAGGGGAGATTTTGAAGCGTGTGAAGTCCACATTGATACCATTGGGCTGTAGGGTTCCCAAGCAAACTATGAGATGCTGTTCCTGCAACCTTCGGGTGGAATTGTTGTGGCACTGCAAGAGCCCAGGATGGACATGTCGTTCAAGGAGTGAGAGGAGGAGTTGAAATAGTTTGCGACTGTGAGGTGCAGTTTGTTGCGAACCGAGCGTAGGTGTTCTGCAAAGCGGTCCCCAAGCCTCCGCTTGGTTTCCCCGATGTAGAGGAGGCCACACCAGGAACAGCGGATACAGTATACCACATTAGCAGTTACAGGTGAACATCTGTTTGATGTGGAAGGTCTTCTTAGGGCCTGGGATGGAGATGAGGGGGGGAGGTGTAGGGGCAGGTGTAGCACTTCCTGCGGTTGCAGGGAAAAGTGCCGGGTGTGGTGGGGCTGGAGGGGAGTGTGGAGCGGACAAGGGAGTCACGGAGAGAGTGGTCCCTCCGGAAAGCAGATAAGGGTGGGGAGGGAAAAATGTCTTTGGTGGTGGGGTCGGATTGCAGATGGCGGAAGTGTCGGAGGATGATGCGTTGGATCCGGAGGTTAGTGGGGTGGTACGTGAGGACGAGGGGGATTATGTTTTGGTTGTTACTGCAGGGAGGGGGTGTGAGGGATGAGTCGCAGGAAATGCGAAAGACACGGTCAAGGGCGTTTTCGACCACAGTGGAGGGGAAGTTGCGGTCCTTGAAAAACGACGACATCTGGGAGGTCCAGGAGTGGAATGCCTCATCTCGGGAGCAGATGCGGCGGAGGCAAAGGAATTGGGAATAGGGAATGCCTTTTTGCTGGAACATGGGTGAGAGGAGGTGTACACCTCGCCAACCATTTCAACTCCCCCTCCCACTCCTTGAACGTCATGTCCATCCTGGACCTCCTGCAATGCCACAACGATGCCACCCAAAGGTTGCAGGAACAGCATCTCATATTTTGCTTGGGAACCCTGCAGCTCAATGGTATCAATGTGGACTTCACATGCTTCAAAATCTCCCCTCCCCTGAACGCATCCCAAAACTAGCCCAGCTCGTACCCGCCTCCCTAATTTGTCCTCCCACCTATCCACTCCTCCCACCTCAAGCCCCGCCCCCATCTCCTCTCTACTAGCCTCATCCCGCCTCCTTGACCTGTCCGTCCTTCCTGGACCGACCTATCCCCTTCCTAACTCACCTTTACTGGCTCCAAACCCGCCTCCTTGACCTGTCTGTCTCCTCTCCACCTATCTTCTCCTTTATCCATCTTCTATCCGCCTCCCCCTTTCTCCTTATTTATTTCAGAATCCCCTTCCCCTCCCCCATTTCTGAAGAAGGGTCCAGACCCGAAACATCAGCCTTCCTGCTCTTATGATGCTGCTTGGCCTGCTGTGTTCATCCAGCTCTATATCTTGTTATCTCAGATTCTCCAGCATCGGCAGTTCCTACTATCTCCGTTTGAAATTTGGAGTGTTTTTGACAGTGGATAAGAGATCTGTTCACTGAGTTCTCAGAGCAGCTGGTGTGTGATACATAGCAAGGCCAACAGTGTGGGTTCAGTTCTTGTTCTGGCTGATGTTACCATGAAGGACATTTCATTCCAATGTCTCCGCTTCCCCTGAGGCGTGGTGAACTTTAGGTTAAACCACCACCAGTTGTCTGTTTTGAATGAGAGAGCAGACCTATAGTCTGGTAAGATTGTGGTGACTTTATCTTTATTGTTAAAGATGCGGGATTGGTCCCATTGGCCAAAGTGTGGGTAACCAGAGGGCAGTGGCCTAATTTAAAGGCATTGAGAATGGAACCAAAGGGAAGATTAGGAGATTTGTATTTCTAACTAGCAAACTGTGATCTGAAAGGCGCAATCTGAAAGCACACTAGAAGCAGATTCCGTGGAAATGTGCAAGAGGGAGCTGAATGTATACATGATGAGGAACAAGGGAAAAAAACATGCTGGCTATGGGAGAGAGGAAAAATGGGTTATTTCAGTGCTGAAGAAGTGCTATTTCTGAAGAAGGGTCTAGACCCGAAACGTCAGCTTTCCTGCTCCTCTGATGCTGCTAGGCCTGCTGTGTTCATCCAGCTCTACACCTTGTTATCTCTTATTTCAGTGCATTTTGCATTGGCAATGTAGAATCCATTGGGGCTGATAGAGGCGAAGGTTACAATATCATAAAATCCCTGCAGAGCGGAAAGAGGCCATTCAGCCCATTGAGTCCGCAGAGACCCTCCAAAGAGCATCCCACCCAAACTCACCCCCTATCCTATCTCTGTAACCCTGCATTTCCCATGGCCAATCCATCTAACCTGCACATCTTTGGACTCTGGGAGAAAACCCCACACGGACACAGGGAAAATGTCTGTGTGCAGTTTGCACAATCGCCTGAGGCTGGAATTGAACCCGGGTCCCTGGTGCTGCGAGGCAGCAATGCTAGCCACTGAGCCACCGTACTGCCCATAGGTTTTGTTGGTTGGCTGATTTTTCTTTTGCAGGGGTGCGGAGCTAGTTGCAGAGTTTATTCAAAGAGCTGGCACTGGCACAAGTGGCTGAAAGGCCTCCATTCTTGTTACATAAACTCTTTAAAAAGTGGCAGGTCAGCAGAATGATCCCTGGTTACTAACGAGATTAACTGGGTTACTAATGAGATTAACTGGTTTACTAAGCTCCCTGGGAACAAGCAGCTCTACCATGTCTTTTTATTCTGTTTTTATTCTGGAAAGGAACTCCTCCTTTCCATCGATCCAAGAAAGGCTCTCACTTCACAGAAATTGCATTCTTTTGTGCTCTTCCTACTTCATGTTGCAGATTCGTACGCAGTTTGACATTTCTCTGACTGTTGCAATGGAGCAACATTAGTGCAGGATCTGGCATTGGGAGAGAAGTATGTCTCCTCTCTGTTATTGCATTACACTGTTCCAGATATCCCCCAAAATGAAAACAAGCCCAAACAGAAGTTGGCTAAAGGATATGTGAGGATCACATAAAGACTGGAGGAGGGAGAATTATTATAATTGAAAGAACATTGGACGGTGCTTTATTCATCTGCTGTTGACCATCTGTGATAAAATACAGGCACTGAGCCCAACAGTAGGGGAAGTTATGCTAAACCTTTATAAAGCTCTGGTTGTGAGTGATTGAGTCATAGAGGTGTACAGCACAAAAACAGGACGTTTGGTCCAATTTGTCCACGCTGACCAGATATCCTAAATTAATCTAGTTCCATTTGCCAGCATTTGGCCCATATCCCCCTAAACCCTTCCTATTCATGTATCTATCTAGATGCCTTTTAAATTTGTTTCTAATTGTGTCTAATTCCAGTCACGATACTTCTAGCAAGGATGTGAGAGTCATTGAAAGTGTAGAGGAGATTGACCAGAGTTGAGAAAAATTTCACTACAATGTTAGGTTGAGAAGCTGGGATTGTTCTCCAACAGGAACAAAAACAGAAGTTGCTGGAAAAGCTCAGCAGGTCCAGCAGCTTCTGTGAAGAAAATATCAGAGTTAACGTTTCAGGTCTGGTGACCCTTCCTCAGAACTGTTCTCCAACAGGTTGAGGTGTACAAGATTATGACAGGTTTAGACAAGACAGGTACAAGAAAGCCATTCCCCTGAGCTGATGGTACAAGGAGCAGGAGATACTGAATGAGGTTTTATCGAAATGATATGGAGTGGGGTGTGAGGGAAAGCTTTATCATACAGGGAGTGGTAATCGCTCTGAGTTACTGTTAACGGGGTAGTAGAGGAAATGACCAGTGATTTTTTTTGTTTCCAAAACAAAAGTGGAAAGAAACTTGAGCAAAATAAACCTCCAGGGCATGAATGGGGTGATGGGATTTCTTGCCACAGTGTGTGCTCCCCACAGAGCTGGCATGGACTTGATGGGAGAATTAGCCTGTTTCATAATGATTCTCTCTCAACAGCTGGGCAATATTTCCTGGCGTACAGCCCAGTTTCACTGGTGGAGCCTCAATCGCACCTTCTCTTTCTTTCTATATAGAGCCTGCTCACAGGGCTAATGCACCACAGACCAGAAGACCCTGTCGACTACTTGGAAAGTTGCCTGAAGAAAGTGAAGGAGCTGGGAGGACCCGACAGAGTGCGGTGGGACACCTTTGTGGCCCAGGAGAAGAGGACATTGCCTCCTCTGAATGGTTGCCAGAGCAGAAGATCCTTCTTTAGGAATGGTAAGGGGTCTGCTACCTCCACACCACCCAATTCCAGGGATATGAAAGTGTCACAAGTCCAATTCACTTGGGATTTGGTGAGTTTAGCAGAGAGGAGGAAGGGGCAGCAAATTTTAAAAAATATGTACCTCAAATTCATCAAAAAAGTGTGAAGTGATTCATTTTGGAAGGTCGAATTTGAATGCAGAAGATAGGGTTAATGGCAGGATTCCTGGCAGTGTGGAGGATCAGAGGGATCTTGGAGTTCACGTCCATACATCCCTCAAAGTTGCTACCCAAGTTGATAGGGTTGTAAAGAAGGCGTATGGTGTATTGGCTTTCATCAGCAGGGGAATTGAGTTTAAGAGCCGTGAGGTTAAACTGCAGCTGTATAAAACTCTGGTTAGACTGCACTTGGAATATTGTGTTCAGTTCTGGTCACCTCATTATAGGAAAGCTTTAGAGAGGGTGCAGAGGAGATTTACCAGGATGCTGCCTGGACTGGAGGGCAGGTCTTATGAGGAAAGGTTGAGGGAGCTAGGGCTCTTTTCATTGGAGCAAAGAAAGATGAGAGGTAACTTGATAGAGGTGTACAAGATGATGAGAGGCATAGATAGAGTGGATAGTCAGAGACTTTTTCCCAGGGTGGAAATGGCTATTACAAGGGGACATAATTTTAAGGTGATTGGAGGAAGGTATAGGGGAGATGTCAGAGGTAGGTTCTTCACACAGAGAGTGGTGGGCGTGTGGAATGCGCTGCCGGCAGTGGTAGTGGAGTCAGATACTTTAGGGACTTTTAAGCGACTCTTTGATAGGCATTTGGAGGATAGTAAAATGTAGGGTATGCAGGGTAGATTGATCTTAGTAGGATAATATGTCGGCACAACATCATGAGCCGAAAGGCCTGTACTGTGCTGTACTGTTCTATGTTCTATGTTCTAAGTCCCTTTACCCAACTTGTGCCAGCAATGATGTCATGGGATGCCAACTCACCTCTCAAGGGTTCAGGCTGTAGTCCAGAGACTTCACCCTCACAATCTCGGGTGGAGGCTTCTGTGTGGTGCTGAGGGAGCACTGCACTCTCAGACGCTGTCTTTCAGAAAAAAACTGTCCACTCCCGTGCTTCAGGAAACACTAAAAACCTCACCTGTTTAACCCACTCTCTGAAGGTCAAGGAATTCCCCCGTGTTAGTCTGGCTTGTGTTCAAGGTTCTGGAGTGGGGGTTTGAACCCACTGTCCCCGTACATCAGGTAAAGGTACATCAACAGAGAAAAGCTGACACACCAGAATGACTGCATGCAGGGATGTGAACAAAAACCAACACAAGATTCGTTAAAGGTCACGATCAAACGCATCAGAGAGCGTTCTGAATGTTAGCTCCATCTTCTTTGAAAGGTGGAGGAGGGAAGAGGTCAAAGAGCTGAAAGGATTATTAAATGTCAGAAACCTGATCAATTGGCCAATAAAGACATACAGACGTATTCCTCTGTCTATTCCTGCTGTTCTGCTTGCAGTTCTGCCTGACACTCCCAGTTTTCCTTATCAACGCTATGACCGTCTGCCTCCCATCCATCAGTTCTCCATCGAGAGTGACACCGATCTGTCTGAAACTGCGGAGCTCATCGAGGAATACACAGTGTTCGACCCAGTCAAACCACACCCTTGGATTCTGCTGCTTATAGGTAATGCTGGGGAGTTATAAGATCACTGGGGTGAAAGGGTTGCTGGCTGTGTAATGGGTCAAGGAATGGGTCACTAAAGACCGAGCGGTTCTGACTTATGCCCTGGGGTCAGAGGTTCACAAGATGATAGAGTTTAAAGTCCCTTAATAAATCCGGAATTAAAAAGCTACTTTCAGTAATGTTGGCCATTTTTGGTTGCTGTAGAAATCTGTCTCATTTGTCAGTGTCCTACAGGGTTGGAGATTTGCTGTTCTTACCCAGTCTGGCCTGCATGTGACTCCACACCCATGGCAACATGGCTGCTGTTTTGCTGCCCTCTGTAATAGTTCCAGCCAAATCCTCAGATACATCAGATCTCCAAAAATCTCCAAAAAAATACCCATAAAGGAATGGACGGGCTCCATCCTCCCCAAGGACTGCAACAGTTCATGAAGGTAGCTCACCACCAGTTTCTCATGGGCAATTTTTATTCAAAATTCATTCATAGGATGAAGGTATCACAGGCCAGGCTGGCATTTATTGTCCAGAGGGCAGTTAAGAGTCAACCACACTGCTTTGGGTCTGGAGTCACATGTAGGCCAGATCAGGTAAGAAGGGCAGATTTCCTTCCCTAAAGGACATTGGTGAGCCAGATGGGTTCCTCCTGACAGTCAATTTATGGTCATCATCAGAGACACAATTCGAGATTCTTATTGAAATCAAATTCCACCAGTGGCCATGGCAGGATTTAAAACCAGGCCCCCAGATTACCAGTCCTGCAATAATACCATTAAGCCAGCATTTCTCCATGAGAGGTGGGTAATAAGTCATTGTTAGCAACACTCATATCCCACAGATAACAACCACACCAGTATGTCTTCAGTGTGCTCCATGAACTGTGAGTATCAATACTTTGTTCAGTTCACCTTTTGTTTTATTTTCAAGTATTCCCATTTATAATTAACCAGCAGCAAAGCCTTTTCTTCAAACAAGACAAAGACTAATTTATTTCAAAACTTTAAGTTATTCAATTCAAAAGTGATATAGTTAATACTTAAAATACATATACAAGAATTGAAAGTAGGTCCTGGTAAAAGATACTTATTAACGTAGCGATTGGAATGAGGTCAGCCAGGTGCACTTCATAGAATATGAGTTCCCTGATTGGGGCTGTTAACCTGGTCCAATCAGGGAGCCCTGGCTGACAGATAAAAACGGGAGTGTTGGAGCTCCTGCTCTCTTCAGGAGCCAGCACCCAACTAGTTGGGTCAGTGCCATTTACTATGCACGTGTAAATAAAGGGTGACTTGGTGATAGGATACCAGCCTTCATGGAGTTATTGCAATCAACATGAAATCTGTTAGCATTGCAGGCCTGTTACTTGCTTGAAGAGTCTATTTCTGAAGGGGAGGAATAAAAAACTTGAAATCAGAATTCAGCAGCTGCATGGTTTCTATAGCTCTATAGTTGGAGGTTTTTCCATAAATGCACTGAGCAGAACAGGGTCTGGAATGGAGTAAGGACTAATTTATTTCACTTTAATGGCACTGAAGTTAGTATACTGACAATAGACTATTAAATTTTTCAAAACAACGTTTATTCATAGCTTTCTTCATGGGAAGAGAGATCCAGTTCATTAACACCCAGTCAGTACAGTAGAAAGTGCTTCCTTACACCCTCGTACATCACTTGCGCAAAATGTAAATTTGTGCTCCCTAGTCTTTGTATTATCAGGTAATGGGCATATTCTTTGTCTGCCTTATCTAAATCTATCATAATCTTGTGCCTCTCTATCAGAACACCTGTAAACTTCTTTGCTCCAAGAGGACACTACAATGTTTCTAATGTCACGTTAGAATCATGGAATCCCTACAGTGTGGAAGCAGGCCATTCAGCCCATTGAGTCCACACTGACCCTCTGAAAGCATCTCACCCAGACCCACGCCCCCCCCATGCCCTATCCCTGTAACCCTACATTTCCCATGGTTAATCCACTTAGCTGGCACATCCCTGGATACTATGGACAACTTCCTATGGTCAATCCATCTAACCTGTACATCTTTGGACTGTGGGAGGAAATCAGAGCACCCAGAGGAAACCAATGCTGACACGGGGAGAATATGCAGACTCCACACAGACAGTGACCTGAGGGGACTGAGTCCCTGGTGCTTTGAGGCAGCAGTACTAACCACTGAGCTACTCTACCACCTGTTGTAAAACAGTTAAAACATCCCATCCCTGACAGCAAAATTTCCGCTGCATCTCCTATCCTTCTTAAAGTCTGGTGTCCAGAACTGGATACAATGCTACAGTTACAGTCCAACCAGATATTTAACAGATTATGTGTAGGGCCTTGGGACTGTGACAGATTGAAACTACATATAAATACAATTATTTCTTTGTTAATACACCTGTCTGTTGCTGTTCAGGTGGCCCAGGCAGTGGGAAGGGAACTCAGAGTCTGAAGATCGCCAAGCATTATGGATTTGAATACATTTCAGTGGGAGAGCTTCTCAGAAGGAAAATGATCCACAACACAACTTGTAACAGGAAGTGGAGTTTAATTGCCAAAATAATCACCAATGGGGAATTGGCACCACAGGTAAAAACAATTCTTGTACTTGTATAATGTCTCTTAAGAATGATTGCGGAGTTCAATGAATGTAGTTACATAGTCAGCCTACACCAGTAACATCCTAAAGGGGAGAAGAAAAATCACTTCTTATCAAAATGCAAGCCTGAATTTCTATAGCACCTTTCACAACCTCAATCCCAAAGTATTTTACACCCAATAATGTTATTTTAAAGGAAACCCTGACCCTTTTACAATGTAGAGAATGTGGTGACTAATTTGCAAATAGCAAGATCTCTTAAACAGTGCTGTGGTCATGGATATTCTGAGACTTACCCACCAGTCAGCACTCTCTGCTCATACAGCATGGAATGTTCTTCCTCTTCATACTTGCAAAGTGTCCTGGTGATGACAATCTTCAACAAAATGTTTTTTCTCAGCAATACTCAAGTTCTGGTGCTACCAGGTGTGATAATACAAAGAACAAAGAAAATTACAGCACAGGAACAGGCCCTTTGGACCTCCAAGCCTGCGCCGATCCAGATCCTCTATCGAAACCTGTCGCCTATTTTCCAAGGATCTGTATCCCTCTGCTCCCTGCACATTCATGTATCTGTTTAGATACATCTTAAATGACGCTATCGTGCCCGCCTCTACCACCTCCGCTGGCAACGCGTTCCAGGTACCCACCACCCTATGCGTAAAGAACTTTCCACGCATATCTCCCTTAAACTTTTCCCCTCTCATCTTGAAATCGTGACCCCTAGTAATTGAGTCCCCCACTCTGGGAAAAAGCTTCTTGCTATCCACCCTGTCTATATCTCTCATGATTTTGTAGACCTCCATCAGGTCCCCCCGCAACCTCCGTCTTTCTAATGTAAATAATCCTAATAATGAGCCAATTAACTTGTTTATCTTAAGCTTGTAAGAAAATAGTGGCAGGAGTAGACCTTTTGGTCTTTCAAACCTGCTCCATCATTCAGTACAATCTCTATTTGCCTCAACTTCACTTTCCTGTCTGCCCAGTGCTCCCCAACACAGCCCCCCCACCCCATATTCCTTGATTCCCTGAAAAGCCAAAAGTCTATCGCAGCCTTAAATGTACTCAAAACTGAAAAATCCACAAGCTGCTGAGGTACCGGTTGGAAACATTCATGACCTTTTGAATGAAGAAGTTTCTTCTCATCTCAATCCTATCTGAAGCCCCTTACCCTGTGATTACCTCTCTGTGTTCAAGATATCCAAGTTGGAGGTAACAACCCCTCAGCCTTTAGTCTGTCAAGCCTCTTCATAATTGTTCATATTTAGATGAGGTTGCTTTAGGGTTTAAATAAATGAGGCAGATAGACCCAATTTACTCAGCTTGGGAAGCAATTTAGCAAATGCTCCAGACCAAATATCTAATTCCTTAAAGGGGCTCTTGTGGCACCGTGGTAGTGCCCCAACCTCTGACCCAGGAGGCCGAGGTTCAAGTCCTACCTGCTGCAGAGATTTGTCATGACACATCTGAACAACTGTAAGAAAAACCCAAGTTAGGCCACAGCTTGAGTACGGTGTGCAGTTCTGGAATCCACATTATAGGATGGATGTGACTGGAGCACTGGAGAGGAGATTTACCAGGATGTTGCCCTGAGTTGGAGAGTTTCAGTTATGAAGAAAGATCGCACAGACTGGGGTTGTTTTTCTTGGAGCAGAGGAGATCGAGAGGGGACATGAGATGTGTAAAATTGTGAGGAGCATAGATGGGAAGAAACTTTTCCCCTTGGTACAGCAATCGTTGACCCGGGGGCATAGATTTTAGGCAAGGGCTGGAAGTTTAGAGGGAACGTGAGCAAAGATGTTTTCACCCAGAGGGCAGTGGGAATCTGGAACTCACTATGCGAAAGGGTGGTGTGGGCAGAAAGCCTCATAACATTGAAGAAGCCTTCACATGTACATTTGCGATGCCAAGGCATACAGGGCTATGGGCCAAGTGCTGGAATGTAGGATTAGCATGGTTAGACTGACACAGACACAATGGGCTGAAGGGTCTTCTTCTGTGATACAGACCTCTATGGCTTTATAATATCTATATCCCTTCCTTAAGGGGCTTGGTGCCATGATAATGTCCTACCTTGGAAAAGGAGGCATAGGTTCAAGTCTGACATGGTCTAGAAGTGCGTAATAACATCTCTGAACAGATTAATTAGAAAAATAATCTATAATTCCGAAAGTATGGAGATTGTGGCTACACACAGTATCCCAGCTTGGTCTCACCAGAAGCATTTGGGCCAGCATTTATTGCCCATCCTTAGTTTGCCCCTTGAGAAGTTGGTGATGAGCTGCCTTCTTGAACCACTGCATTCCATTCGGTTTAGATATTCCCACAATGCTGTTAGGGAGAAAGTTCCAGGATTTTGACCCAGTGACACTGAAGGAACGGCGATATATTTCCAAGTCAGGATAGTGTTTGATTTGCAGGGGTATGCATCTATACAGCTTCAATTAATTTCTGCAGTGCATGTTATAGGTAATACATTCTACTGCTACTGAGTGTCAGTGCTGGAGGGAGACAATGTTTGTGGATGTGGTGTCATCAATTGGACTGCTTTGTCCTGGATGGTGTCAAGCCTCTTGAGTATTGTTGGAGCTGCACCCATCCAGGCTAGTGGGGAGTATTCTATCACACTCCTCACTTGTGCCTTGTAGATGTTGGACAAGCTTTGGGACGTGCGACGGGTTACTAGCTTCAGTATTCCTAGCCTCTGACCAGAGAGACACAGAAAGAGGGAGATACAGAGAGACACAGAGACAGAGAGAGACGAGACAGAGAGCGAGTCAGAGATAGAGGTACACATAGAGACAGAGAGAGACTGAGATAGAGAGACACATTGAGAGGTGGTGAGTGAGAAATTGAGACACAGAGAGAGAGAAAGTGAGACAGAGAAAGAAAGGGACAGTGTATAGCTGTTAAGCTGGAGCTCCATTGTGTTGTTTTGAAGAAGTACACGTGGCGTATTCCTGCCTGATGTTTAACCTTTAAGCAAATGATGTGGCTATGTTCACACTGTGGTAGCTTGCTGTATTTACAACAGTGAATATGCTTCAAAAGTACTTGAACGTTGTGGTACCTTTGACATGTATATATGCAACTTAATTATCTTAAAATAGGACGCAGATAAATGCAATGAAATTGCTAGCTTGACATTTAACTGATGTAATTTGTACAAAACTACAGGTTGACTATTCACATAATAGCAAACAGCTCAGGTTAAGGCCTAATCACCTGCTTTCTTTATTCTTTCATAGGATGTGGGCAGTACTGCCAAGGTGAATATTTGTTGTCCATCCCTAATTGCCACTGCTGCTGCTCACAGCTCACGATATGATCTCCTCTACATTGGGGAAACGAAACCTAGACTGGGTGACCGCTTCGCAGAACACCTACATTCTGCCCGCAAAAATGATCCTGAGCTTCCAGTTGTCACTTCAACACACCACCCTGTTCCCTGGCCAACATCTCTGTCTCAGGCTTGCTGCAGTTCTCCAGCGAAGCTCAGCGTAAGCTGGAAGAACAACATCTCATTTTCTGTTTGGGGACCTTTGCAGCCCTCTGGACTTAATATCTAGTTCAATAACTTTAGGGCTTGAACTCTTCTATGTCCTAGCCCCCACCTCCACACACCAGGCTTTGTCATCACATTGTCTGCTATTATACACAACCCATTGTTAGTCTCTAACAGTCTCCTTTAACAGCTATTCACCCTCCTAACCAGATCATTACCCATTCCTTTGTCTGTCCAACTGTACTTCTCTCTCTTTGGGCTCTATCCCCCATCATTTATCGTTTATCCCTTACCCCTCCCACACCCAATCTGCTGCATAAAAAACACCTGACAGTTTCCGAGCTACCATCAGTTCTGAGGAAGGGTCACCGGACCCGAAAGGTTAACTCTGATTTCTCTTCACAGATGCTGCCAGAGCTTTTCCAGCAACTTCTGTTTTTGTCCCTAATCTGAGCAGAGCGGCTTATTCAGTCATTTCACACAGCAACTAAGGGTCAACCACATTGTTGTGGGTCTGGAGTCATGTGGACCAGTCCAGCTGATTTGTTTCCCTCAGTGTTATTCCAGAAACCAGACACTTTTTTTAATGACAATGGATAACAGTTCTCACAGTCACCATTACTGAGACTAGCTTTACATTACAGACATTATTGATTGAGATTTACCACTAATATGCTGCGGTGGGATTTGAACCCACGTCCCCGGATTATTAAACAAACTGTGCAGCAGACACAATGGGCTGAATGGCCTCCGTCTGTGCCTCAGCATTTCTGTAGTTGTGTGATTAGCTGGATCTTTGGATATTAGTGACGTTGCCAGTAAGAGACGCCATCTTCCCCCAGCTGAACAAATTGGCCTTGTTGCGACCTTCACTTTTAACATTCTTCGGGATAACATGAGCACTTTTTGATTGAATTGCCCTTTTATGTGTGTTTCTCCTTTTGAAGGAAACAACCATCACTGAGATCAAACGTCGTTTGATGCAACTGCCAGACGCACAAGGATTTGTCATTGACGGATTCCCCCGGGATGTTGCCCAAGTGTTGTCCTTTGAAGACCAGGTATGGAACTCTTTGCTGTGCTTCACCTTGGCAGGGTCATCACCAGGGATTGTAAGAACAGGAGAAGTGGAAATCAATGTATTTCTAGACATTCTGGAGCATACAGGAAAATAGCATTGAAGTAGAAGATCAGCCATGATCTAGTTAAATGGCTGGAAAAGTATGCCATTTTTTACAATTATTCATGGGATGAGGGTGTCGCTGGCCAGGCCAGCATTTATTTCCCATCCCTAATTACCCAGAGGGCAGTTATGAGTCAACCACATTGTTGTGTGTTTGGAGTCTCATGTCGGCCAGACCTCCCTAAAAGATTTTAGATGGGTTTTTCTGACAATCGGTTCATGGTCATCATTAGATTCTTAATTCCAGGTTTCTACTGAATTCATGTTCCACCATCTGCCATGGCAGAATTCAAACCCGGGTCCCCAGAACATTATGTGGGTCTCTGGATTAACAGTCCAGCGATAATGTCACTAGGCCATTGTCGTCCCTTAAAGCCTTGGCTTGATAGGCCGAAGGCTTACTCTCGCTCCTATGTTCCTACTATTCAGGAGTAGGAGCCCCTCATTCCATCCTGGGCCTTTAACAACCTTTGCCATCGTTCGAACACTACCTCCCCCAGTCATAAACGTGCAACTTCCAATTTGGCAACTATAGCAAAGTACTACAGAATCTGGAAACCTGAAACTAAAACAGGGAATACTGGAGAAGCTCAACAGATTTGGCAGCATCTGTGGAGAGAGAAACAGAAATGGCATTTCGAGTTGACAATTACTCTTCCTCAGATGCCGTCTTCCCTGAAGAAGAGTCCTATTTGACTCAAGACGTTAACTCCGTTCCTTTCTCCAATAATGCTGGCCATGGTCCCAACATCCATTGACGTTGAATCCTAGCTTTCATTCCCAGAGACCAGACTCTTTCACTTGTGACAATGTTCCGCCCAAAGATAAAACACTACTTCCAGTAGAAGAATGAAAATCATCTAAAAATTAAAGCTGGGGCACATTTGGATGGAAAACATGCACAAATTGCTGGAAAAACCCAGCAGGTCTGGCAGCACCTGTGAGAGAGAAACACTCAACGTTACGAGTCTTCTGAGTCATACCAAATGCAAAACATTAACTTTGAACTACTGAGTATCTCCAACAATGTTCGCTGTGTTTGTTTCAGAGTTCCAGTATCCACAGCAGTTTGCTTTTGTCTAAAGGCAAACTTCTTCCTTTCCCCCACAAAATGGAAATGTGTATAATTCTCTCCTTTCTGGGTGAATAATAGAATCCCTACAGCGTGGAAACAGGCCATTCGGTCCAACAAGTCCACACCGCCCCTCTGAAGAGCATTCCCACCCAGACCCATTCCCCTAGTCTAACCCAAACATCCCTGGGCACTATGGGCAATTTAGCATGGCCAATCTACCTAACCTACACATCTTTGGACTGTGGGAGGAAACCCACACAGATACAGGGAGGATGTGCAAACTCCACACAGACAGTCGCCCAAGGGTGGAATCAAACCTGGGTCCCTGGCGCTGTGAGGCAGCAGTGCTAACCACTGAGCCACCATGCTGCCCTAATTGGTGATGGGACAGTTGGAGCCTCTGGGACTTAGTTAAGCTCCTTGTTGGCTGAGGGGATATGGATAATGAGTCAGATGAGTGAAGATTGAAGTAGAGGCTCATGGGATTTGAGTGGGCCTACTCCTGGTTCTGCCGATTCTCTGAATGGACCCTTTATTGAGCTTCAATGGGTTCCTTTTCTCTCTCTCCCTTTATGTTGAATCTTACTCAACAGATCTGCACCCCAGATTTAGTTGTGTTCCTTGCCTGCGCAAATCACCAGTTGAAAGAGCGGCTGGAAAAGCGGGCAGCACAGCAAGGTCGCCCTGACGACAATCCCAAAGCCATCCAGAGACGATTGACAACCTTCAAACAAAACACCATCCCGTTGGTCAAGTATTTCCAGGAAAGGGGGCTGATTGTTACGGTAAGTGGTGTTGCGTTAAATCCTCCGAATGGCAAGACGCCTAAAATTATCATTCCTCATCTTGGCGCCTGATTCTGTGCTGTGGGCTGCTCATGCGTGCCCTCTTTCTAAAGGGCTCACAGATTTTCTCAAGAAAATCCATCACTTGTGATGAATGGTACCCCCGAAACATGCTCTCTGTTCCTTTCTGCTGCAAGCTTTCCTGTTGTTCGTGGGATCTTTCCATGCACAAACAGTACGCCACATTTCCTACACCACAACACAGCTATCTACATATTTCAGAGAGAATCTGTCATTTTGGTTGCAGTCATTGCAACTCAACAGAATAAGAGAATATTGAGACAAAATTCTAAGGGGGTTTGACTGGGTAGATGTGGAAAGGTTGTTTCCCCTTGTGGGAGAGTCTAGGACCAGGGAGCATCATTGTCAGCAAAAGGGTTTCAGTTGTCACCTTGCATCTACTTTCTTCTAAGCTCCAGCCTCCTGCTCCCTCTACACTCTTGTGCTGAGATTAGGCCTCGGATCTATTCCTAACCTCCCACGATGTAAACCTGTATCTCCACGTATTCTGCTACCACTATAGTTCTAAAATGATCTCTGGTTTGCAACCGTGGCGACTCTCCTGAAATAGTGAAAGGAGGCCATTCAGCTCATCATGGTTCTACTAGCTCTGTGAAAACAGTGTGATTTTCATCTCCCCACCCCTCCGTCTCTGATCTTGCCCCATGGCCCTAATGTTTTATTTTTCTTTCTCAAGTATACATTCGGTTCTCTTTTCACATCCCACTTTCAGGAGGCTCCTACAAGATTGTAAGAATGTAATTTCCTTTATTTCCCCCTTAGCCCCTTCAGGCTTTCCTCAAAGCTTCTCAATGTAAAATGTTTCCGTCCCCAAATGTGATTGACCATCTCAGTCTGGAGCAAATGATTCATCAGATAATTAAGGAAAGGGAAAATGACATGGTTTTAAATGGAGTAGGAGCAGTGTCGTTGAAGATGGAGATGTGACATATGTTAGAAAATAATCCTTCCTTCCACACCAAAAGACTTATAAAATCAAAACATGGGGTTAATATTAAATAAAAACTGAAAGAACCGCGGATGCTGTAAGTCAGGGGCAAAAACAGAAGTTGCTTTAAAAGTTCAGCAGGTCTGGCAGCATCTGTGAAGAAAAAATCAGAGGAAACGTTTTGGGTCCGGTGACCCTTCCTCGGAACTGATGGGAAAATGTTGGTTGATATGCAGAAAATAGGGAGGGGAATGGGGTAGGGAGTAAATGATAGGATAGAGCCTGAAGAGAGAGAAGAGCAGTTGGATAGATAAGGGAGTTGATAACGATCTGGCTGGGAGGGTGAATAGCTGTTAATGGGGACTATTAGTAACTAACAATAGGTAGTGTGTAATGGCAGGCTATGTGGTAACAAGGCCTGGTGTGTGGGGTTGGGGGGCTGGGACATGGGAGGGTTCAGGCCCTAAAATTATTGAACTCGATATTGAGTCCGGAGGGCTGTAGGGTGCCCAAGCGGAAAATGAGGCGTTGTTCTGCCAGCTTGCGTTGAGCTTCGCTGGAACACTGCAGCAAGCCAGAGACAGAGATGTTGGCCATGGAACAGGGTGTCATTAACTCGAACCGTTAACTCTGTTCCCCTCTCCATAGATGTTGCCCAGCCTGCTAAGTATTTCTAGCATCTTTTTTGTTTTATTTCAGATTTCCAGTTTTTGTGATATTTTGCTTTTGACGTGCAATGGAATTCCTCTGGAATGTAATGGCATTTTCCATTTTGTTTCATGGGATGTAAGCATCTGTGGCAAGGCCAGCAATTTACTGCTCATTTCTAATTATATTAAGGTGGTGCTATAGATGCACCTAACATACTGTGTAGGATTCTGACCCAGTGACAGTGAAGGAATGGCAACATATTTCTAAGTCAGACCAGTGGCTTGGAAGGAAACTTGCAGAGGGTGGTGTTCCCATGTACCTGCTGCCCTTATCCTACTGGATGGGAGAGATCGCTGGTTTGGGAGGTGCTTTCAAAGGAGCCTTGGCAAAATACAGTTGTCAAGGGCAGTTTTGGTCTGGGATGGGGGTGGAAAATGAAAGAAGGAGCTTGTTAATTCTGGATAGCACATAGCAGAATTAAAGGTTAAATCGCTAGAAGCTTTTGAGTGGAAAGAAGTGTTGTCGTATTATCATGCCCGCTCGTGATGAAGGTCACAGGTACCATCCTGTATAAGTGTTGGAAAGGCCTGGTGAGGTCACAGAAATCTACTTGGTCTAGCTACAAGAGGCTCTTACAATAAACTACTTCTTGTTGATTATATGAGGCGATTACTTACAGGCTACATCGATGTGATAGACATTGTTACAGAAACTTTGAGGAGCACCAGAGAATAGGCCTCACTACTTGGGAGGCATTGGCCTAGTGGTATTATCGCTGGACTATTAATCCAGAGACCCAGATAGTGTTCTGGGGACCCAGGTTTAAATCACGCCAAGGCAGATGGTGGAATTTGAATTCAATAAACATATCTGGAATTAAGAATCTAATGATGATCGTGAATCCGTTGCCGATTGTTGGAAAAACCCATCTGGTTCACTAATGTCCTTTAAAGAAGGAAACTGCCATCCTTACCTGGTCTAGCCTACATGTGACTCCCTCTGGGCAGTTAGGGATGGACAATAAATGCTGCCTGGCCAGCAGCGCTCTCATCCCGTGAATGAATAAAGAAATCATCATAGTGGGTGGTGCTTATGGCACTCCATGGTATTAACCCTTTCAGACCCATATGCTGCAGTGATGTCACTTTAAGTGTTGAGTGTGCTAAAGAGCCAGAGACATTGTGACCAGCAGCCATGATACATCCGGGTTGCAGAGAGTGAGGGTAAGGGTGTGCAGTAATATTTCTCCACAAAAATACAAATAACAAGCTTCTGTAACCATTCTAGCCCAATAGGCAATGTATCTGAGATAGTAGGAACTGCTTTCTTTAGACGATTTTGACCAAGTGGAGCCTCCATCAGACATAAGTGGTAGCTTGGTGTTAGGAGAACATCGTAAGAATGCTACAGAAACCAGCAATAAAGGCGACCTGTCATGTAATCAACAAAGGAGATTCGAAAGTCTTATTGAAAACTGTTGAATAGTGATGAAAGGACTATAATCAAAGCGCAAAGGAACATGGATCTCAGAATGAGAAGGCTGTGGAAGATACAAGATGGTCAGCTGACAGTTACAATTACAGGAAACGAGCAATTATCTTGACATTTGTGTCTCGGACTATCAGCCACTGCCAAACAAAGATATCCTGTGTGAATAGATTCACTGAGATAACAAGGTGTAGAGCTGGATGAACACAGCAGGCCAAGCAGCATCATAGGAGCAGAAAGGCTGACGTTTCGGGCCTAGACCCTTCATCAGAAAAGGGGGAGGGGAAGGGGGTTCTGAAATAAATA